GATGCTTTTTCTGTTGTTTTTTAACTATAGTCAATTAATTCAGACGTCACTGATGATCTGAGTTTAATTATTCCCTTGTGTTTTTTCACTACCATCACCTATAACTAGTAATTTATCACCTTCTTTGCTAGTAAATTCTTGCTCTTTTTTCCCCTCTGATGTTGGCCTTGATTTGATGAAGGGAGAAGTGAGCTCTGCATTCAGGTCGATAGATGCCTTTCGTAGGTGCCCGAGCCATGTCACTAGGGCACCTACTGTGGCGGATAACTCAGTTCCTAGAGGGTAGCTGTATAAGCTTCTTCGTGCTCCTGCTTTCTAACCCCTAGACTAGGAAGGGTGACCGGAGAAAGGATGCATACGTGGGGTCTTGGCAGATTCGCCTTGCTTGCTTCTCAGGTTAATGCTATGCATTGCGGGCTCTTTTGTGGCAGCGAGTTGGCATAAAGTGGTCTTTGAGTGTTAGAGACATACATTTTTGCACTTTAGCTGCCTCGTGGTGCTACCTCTGGCACAAAGTAAAAATCTGTTGAATATTAGGTGAATTCTTTGGGATGATACAGAGCAAATTAAGTGAGATACTTCCTAGCTTTTCTGTCATGCAGGGTGACGATCCATTTCCAGCTCCATATTTCACTAGCTGTGTAACTTGAGTTAACTCTTTGCCTGGCAAGTGAGGGATACATGTATTTTGTATGTGGATAGGTTTTGGATGGCTAGGAAAAGGGTAAGGAGGACACCAGTCTATAGGCATGTGGTTGGGACTACCCTCTTTGTTTTGTGGGTTTTTTTTTTTTTTTAAGGTTTTATTTATCCGTTTGACAGAGGGAAAGCACAAACAGGGATAGCAGCAGGCAGAGGGAACAGCAGGCTCCCCACTGAGCAGGGAGCCCAATGTGGGGCTCGATCTCAGGAGCCTGGGATCACAACCTGAGCCAAAGGCACCCGCTTAACTGACTGAGCTACCCTGGCGCTCTACCCTTCTTCTTCTGAAACTAAATATTTCCATCTTAGATTTTAGGTATCCCTGCATTGTTCAGTAGCCTGATGGTGTGTTCTGTTTTGGCTTGCTTGCTTGATTTATTCCATGCCCCTGTAATTCACAGGGTCTGAAAATTCCATTTGGATTTCCCCTTGCAAGCAGAGAGGAGGACAGGCCATGCACTAATGTGAAGGTCTATAGCTTAGCATTGCTAGTTGCAAGGTCCTGCAGCTGATTCCTTGTGGATGTGTTTCTGGAGGGTCACCACCTGAGCTTCTAAGCCAGATGCTCCCTCATTGTTGGAAAAAATCTGCAGGAATGGAAAGGATCCCTCCCCCACCAACACAGACACAGAGACACAAAGACACACAAAGATACACAAAGATACACACAGACACACACACACACACTTTGTTGTTTTGTTCTTTCCATTTTACCATCTTCTTTAACAGAGACACAAAGACACACAAAGATACACACAGACACACACACACTTTGTTGTTTTGTTCTTTCCATTTTACCATCTTCTTTAAACATGTAAATTTGCTTTCTCTCTTATGCAGTCTTATTTTTCCTGCAACTTAGAAGCATTTTCCTTTGCTTAATTGCCTGTTAAAATGGTGAACCATAAATCAGAGTTCTTGAAATAGTTCTTAGTCTGATTTAAGATAATTATTAAGAGCTTTTCATTCCAACTATCTCAGCTGGTTGTTTCCCTCCGAAGGAACCATTTTCTATCCTTTATCATGTGTGTGTCTGTTTCTTAGGCATTTGCCTGCCCCTCCACACCATTTTAAAATGTGAGCTCCACTCCAAATAATGAAGGAAGAGGCCTATGATGGTCGAGCTTGAAAAACTGAAAATTATTATGAATTCTGAATAATTATTATGAACGTATCACTATTTTAAAAATCTTAATCTAATCTTCACCTAGAGTAAGCCGTCTAGATTTTTGTTGTTTTCAAGTTATTTCTTTTAAGAATACATTCCGTCTTCCTTTTCTGTTCCTTTTCACCTTCCCAGGATTGTCGACAACCTATGCCTCACTATATACTCAATTTTTGAGGTAGAAATAGAGTCAGGAAGGATATGCAGTTCACCCTTGACTGACACAGGAATGAAGGGCTCTGACCCCATGCGGTTGACCATCCACATGTCTTCCAACTCTCCATAAACACTGACTGCTAATAGCTACTGTTGATCCTTTGGATTCTTGGCCAATAAACGAACACTTGGTTGTATGTATTTTGTATGTTATATATATCATATACTGTACTCTTATGATGAAGTAAGCTAGGGAAGAGAAAATGTTAAGGAAAACATAAGGAAGAGAAAATACATTTATAGGACTGTGCTGTACAAAATCTGTGTGTCCGTCGACCTGTGGAATGCCAACCTATTTTTTCCAAGGATTGACTAAGTGGAAGGGGCTGCAGACACAAGCAGTTGTAGTTTTTATTCTAAGACTAATTTGCTGAGAACTTGGACTGTTCATGTGGCTTTCAGGGGCCTCTATATCTACCTTTATGATATGATCTCCAAGATTCCATTCCGTTCTGATCCAGTTTAACGTTCCAACAGTTCTCTGTGACATAATAAATGGTGCTAAAGTATAAGAAGGTGCTCAGAAGTTTAAATTAATCATGAAGAAGGCATAGGTCCGGATAGAACATTTGAACCAGCAAAGTAGGCCATACACTAGAATTTGGTAGCATCAGTCTCTATCAGCACAGACCTTCTTTGCTGATCACTTAAGATCTCATTGTGAGCATTCTTCTCCTAGGTTCAGACTTTTCAAGGCAGAAAAGAACTTGGTGAGAATTCTTGTTATTTAACAGGTGTTAAATCTATCTATCTATCTATAATTATTATATACGTATATATATATACATATACATAATTATTATTACTTTTTAGTGCAGTGTTTGGCCAAAGGAAGGCCAAGTTAATTTCTCAATTCAGACTGCACATTAGTCTCATTTGGGTTTTAAGGGAGGAGTGGCACCTGACATCTCCTCTCTACCCTCTTTCCCTCATCCCCAAGATACTGATTGGATTGATGTGAGCTGGTATTTGGGCAAGGGCATTTTTAGATAAGCTTTCTTGGTGATTCTAGTAAGTAGCCAGTGTTCAGAATTACTGGGTAGAGTTACTGAAGGTTTATGAGACTTATAACGCCAATAGGCACATGGACAAAGCATGTCTCCAGATGTGCACATCTAGAAAGTTAAGAGAAACAGAAATGTTTCTATATGACATAAGTCTTTTAACCTTTCTAATCCTATGGGGTCTAAAATAGGAATAATGTAATAATAGGCTTAAATGCAGTGGTTTTCAAAGTGTGGTCTCAGGACCAGTACCATCAGGATCCCCTGGGCATTTATTAGAAATGTACACTCTCAGATGCCACTCTAGACCTACAGAATCAGGAGCTCGGTGGGTGGGACATAACCATCTGTGTTTAACCAGACCTTTCTGAGGTCCTGACGACCTCCAAGATTTGAGAACCATCAGCACGGAGGGATGGAGGACTAAGAGGTAGCCTTTGAAAATCTTAGAAGTGACTGGTGCATAGTGAGAGTCCAAAAAGCACAGTATTCTAAATATAGTGTGTTTGACTGCTTGGGAGTCTGAATATAATGGGGAACTAGATTGGACAGCTGCTCTTCCAACGCTAAGACTGTTATTTGTAGGGCAAATAGAACCCAAGTGAACCATCCTCAAGGTGTATCAGAATATTGAATCCACTCTCCTTCCAGTGCCATTTAGTCTTTTTTATTAAGGCTTAAATTGTGATATTTTGGTACTGTCCAGAAGCAACTCATTGGGTGATGGAACTCGTGGCCTTACCAGTAAGTGTTGAGCATCTGAAATGCAAGGAAAGGAGACTCATATATGAATATTATCTATTATTATTATTATTATTAAATATTATTTTTTGAAGGAAAGGCAAATCAAGAATTTTTTTTTTAAATGGACATTTCCTTTTCCTAATAGGATTTCTTGCAAAGTATTTTTAAAAAATTCCATGTCATGAAGCCACAGAGCTCTTAGGTTTATATATATATACCTCAGATCTTAGAGGTTAGGCGTTCTCTCACAACAACATAACATCGGTATGCTGTTCTGGTTGGCCAGTGGTTTTGAGGTTTCTTGATATGCTGACCCCTCATAACATCCTGCCTGGATTGTCTGTAGATTTCAGTGATGTTACTTATTTTAGTTTCTCCTGATGGGCCCTACATGGACTTTTAGATTAGTCTTTAGTAAATCGTATTGCAAGCAGGTTTTTTTCTTCTCAGAAGTCCTTGTTGGATCCCTACCGCATGCATGATAAAATTCAAACTACTTACTAGACGTGCAACACACTTGAAAGTTGGGTTTTATTTTTTTTTTTGGTCACCGTACTTATTTTTATTACCTACTAGTTTATTTTACGTTCCCATACTTATGCTATCTTAATAACTTGCTCCTTATTCTTAGGCCCTGGATGTTTTAGTCTATGCCTTTGTTCCCCTGTCTTTCTGCCAAGCAGACTTGTCCATATCATAATGTTCAGGGGCCATTGTAATGCTCTAGAATAAGTCTTCTTTGGTCCCTCCACCTGGACATAAACTTTCCTTTATCTTAGCTTCCAGAAGAGTTTGGTTCTCCTTCTCAATATATTTTATCTTGTATTATCTTCATTTGTGTACACATTTTTTCCTCCTCTACTTGACTGTGAAAGTCTTACACACCTCAGCCACTGCCCCCACAACCCCAAGCACCTTCTCTGTTCTGGCTAAACAGTCCTGCCCCCTCTCGACTAGGTTTTATGTCCCTTCTGAGTATCAGATCTGGTCCTCGTTCTTCTCAAAAGTAAGGCTGCTGATGAAACTGCAAAGAGCTATCATGGGGGATAACTGCTCGAAGAGACAAAAAGGTCTATGTTCGTGCGGTAAACTTGAACAAATGTGTGATTTTCAAGAGTCCTGTGCGATTGCCTGTATATTCACTTCCTGTGTGCATGTCCTTTCTGTAGGTGACTTTCTTCCACCCCCGCCTCCACCTCTAGATGATCCTGGTGCTCTTCCATCCAGCCCCGGAAACTTCCCTCCTCCACCACCCCTTGACGAAGGTGCTTTCAGGGCACAGGTAAGATGTGTGGTTGAAGTCATATCAGTGAGCCGTGCTTGGAAGTTGGTGAATTCAGTGATTATTTCCATGGTGGATGAACATTTATTCAGAGCCTGAAGAGAACTTTACAGCTCACGAAAGCTCAGGTCCTTTAATGCCACCTCCCCGGCTGAAGCTTCTCAGAACTCTGCTGGCTTGCATTCGAAAGCCCCAGAAATCCTTTTATCCTACTAATTTTGTTCTGAAACTCAAAGCCAGTTTTTAGAAATGCCACTTGAGAATTCCACATTTTCTTGTTATCCTGGGGACCCAGCCATGCTTTTTTATTGCCTCGTTTCTCTATCCACAAACATTGCATTCTGCGTGAGTAAGAGTGATCTTCAAAGGCTCTGGTTGGTCACTGTGGTCACTTAATTGGTCAGCGGCATCATTCTAGCAGAAGCACCAGCAAACCTTCTTGGGGTATTCTTTACTGAGTGAGGTCAAGGGTGCACATTAGAGTATGTATTGATTATGTACAAGTGGTGTGCTCTAGAGAGTGCTGATTGCAAATAACTTGGGCCTGGAATCAGAAGCACTGGTACGAATAGTCAGTCTGTAATTGCGTAGAGTCACTGGTGAACATATGCCACCATTTGGCATCCAAATGCTATTCATATCAGGAAGGAAAACTAAATAACAAAGTTATAGAATTATTGTTGTGTTTTACAGGTGAGGATGTTACTATAGATATATAGAAAAAAAAAACAGCCCTTGTCTTTCAGAGAAACATCAAAAATATTTGGGGAGGAAATTAATGGTGTCTGGTATGGTCTTCAAAATAATAAGAGTAGGGAGCTGATGAGTGAGAAAATAGGTGAAAGAAGGATTAGTTATGAGTTGATAATTGTTGAGTACATGCAGGTTGATTCTATTATTTGGTCTACATATATATATATATATATATATATATATGTATATATATTTACAATTTTCCATATTAAGTTTTGGAGTGGACAGGTCATGGGAACTAGTTAAATGGTTTAGTCCATTGTCCGGTTTTCTTTCTCCTAAATTTCAGGTTGGGAGAGACAAAGGAAGAAATGATACATTCATTCAGCAAATATCCCATGTGCCTGTATGTGTCCCCTTATAGCACCAGGAATTCTGTAGCAAAAAGACATACAGGGTTCTGCCCTCACAAAACTCACACGTTACTGAAACTGGTGGATGTAGGCAACATTCGTACATTGATGCAAAGTGCCTTAGAATGAGATCAGGGCTGTGGGCTGGAGGACAGGGTGGTCCGGAGGCCTTGCTGAGAAGAGGACATCTAAGCAAAGATTTGGAGGGGGGAAAGGGGAGTAACCATGTGAGTTTCTTGTGAGCATATTTTTATATAGGAGAACTTAATGGAAGAAACTTTTCGTGTTATTGAGAAGTTAAAATGATTACGTTCCGGTTATAACCAGGGACCTCTCATTCACTTTGGAGCCCAGATCTTTTAAAATCTATTAAAAATTTTATATCTTAGAGCTATGTATCATGGATTTTCTACAAAAATCTTGACTTTCCTATAAATCTTGCTGATGAAATGGAGTGAACTAGTAAATTCAAAGCTCAGATTCCACTGAAGGGTGGGAGTTGTACAAAGTTTATATTTATTTTATGCAGCAGCTATTTAGCAAATAGAAATAACATGATGATATTTTTGTATTTTTAGTCATTTTTTATTAACAATTAAAAAAAAAAACCCTCTTATATTTGTCTTTTATATACCTCTGCTCTTACTTGGTCCTGGGCTGTTCTTTGCATATTATTGAATTTACATAATTAAAAATTTCATTTTGTCTATTTGGTCTCTTAGAATGTTATGGAAACTGCTTTCTTGAATTTTAAATCTTGAGTTCTGAAAAGCTTGTTTGACCTCGTGACAGAAGACTTGGGTTTGATTGCTAGTTGAGCAACGTAATCTAGTTATGTGGGGTTTTTTTTGTTTTGTTTTGTTTTTAAAATTTATTAACTTATTTTAGAGAGAGCGCAAGAGAGAGAGAGCACATAGGGAGCAAGGGCAGAGGGAGAGGGAAAGAGAGAATCTCAAGCAGATTCTGTGCTGAGCTCGGAGCCCCACGTGGGGCTTGATCTCATGACTCTGAGATCAGGATCTAGCAGAAAACAAACGTCTGTATATTTAAATGACTGCACCACCCAGGTGCCCCTCTAGTTACATGGTTTTAAACAGGTCACACTAAGTCCAATTTTTCTTATAATTAAAAGTAAGGTAACTGTCTACCTCTAGTAGCTAGATGAAATACAGATGGATTTGAAATTGCCAAGTTATAATGGTTGATTTTGATGTTTTAACTGTTACTATATAAATATAACAACAGCAGTAATCATAAGGCTTTCCCAAAAGGTTTAATTAAGAAAAATTCAAACATGGGCTTTCATAAAAATTACAAATATTCTTTTCCTGTGTGGACTGCATCCTGATAACGATATTAAAACCATGACTTTGTTTTTTATTATTTTTTTTTAATTTTTGAAAAAGATTTTATTTATTTATTTTACAGAGAGAGTGAAAGGTAGAGACAGAGCATGAGCAGGGGGAGGAGGCAGAGGGAGAGGGAGAAGCTGACTCCCAACTAGGCAAGGAGCCCGATGCGGGACTCAATCCCAGGACCCTGGGATCATGACTTGAGCCAAAGGCAGACACGTAAGCAGCTGAGCTGCCCAAGCGCCCCCATGACTTTGCTTTTTAAAAGGAAGGAAATAAAAATCTGGTTGACATGTTGGCTTATGTTTTTTGCAAAATACAAGGAAGGAAAAACATAAAACCGAGTTTGCCAAATGGGAAAGGACAGATCTGGTAGGAGAGGCATGTTATTCTTGAATATATGGAAGATCGTGGAAGTTCAAAAGAAAACAGGCACACCCTTCCCTTGTGTGAGAGTGATAGTGACTTGGCCCTGCCCTGGCCATATTTGAACCACTTTGGAATCTGAACTGTAATAAAGCCCAAAGTAGTATAATCACCAGAGAAGATTTTGCACTTTTTCCTCTCGGCCATGGTGAAACCTCGTGTTGCCAAGTCCAAATTATAGCTGGTAAATGGGTGTTTTTATGTAGAGATCTGTTTATGTTTCCAGCCAGATTTTCAGGTCAGCGTCAAAAGAATGTCTACTGAGTCTGGCTTTAAGAATTATAAGATTTTCAGCGCTGAAAGGGACCTTAGGGATCAGGTAGTCCGTCCCCGGGCACTAGCCATAAGTTACAGCCTCTTTGAGGACTTGCTAAATGAATTAATTCCCTGTATTCACAAATGGGGAAACTGAGACCAAAGGAGGTGGGCACCCTCTAATCCATACCTGTGTTTGAGGAATCTTGATTTCTTGGTTTGTCCTTCCGGTTCCATCAGAAGGCCTTGCACACTGCACACGCTTTTGCTTTAGTCCTCCCCCAGCCTGTAAGGCTCTGAGTTTCAGACAAGGGGATTTATAGGCACTGCTGGGGTTTTGCTTGGTGCCCTGAATTTTCAATACCTGCTAGGCACTTATTTTATTTTATTTATTTAGCAAAAGGCAAATATTTAGTGTCAGTAATTCTTACTTTGATAATTTTTTTTTTTTTTTGAGGAAAAAAATGAATCTTGGAAATCAAATGAGGGCTTTATCTTTTCTTTTCTGTCAGGATCTGTTTGACCTCAGTACCTGTGAGGTTTGGAGTGACCAGTGGAGTGGCCCCTTCTTTCGTTTATTTGTTCTTCCTTCCTTCATCATGAATTGAATACCTTCTATAAGTCAGGCTCATACACTAGGGATTGTGGCCTCAGATGTTGGTGTCATGGTTCTAGGGCTCTGAGTCTTGACCTTGGGACTGTCTAGCATTATTCTGATCTGATGCCATAGTTGATCGTTGGTTCTTATTCCAGCAGCTGATGGGAAGGTCTGTGGTATCACTTAGAGTAGTTTCACAGGGGGAGAGTGTCTCACAGGATTTCAGGTTTACAAGGAAATTAGAGCTCATCATTTAAGTCCCTTTCTTTTGTTCAGATCTCCTTATTCTTTTTCCCAGTTGAACAAAATGTTTATGGGTGACTGTTGCAGGTGACGTGATTTTGGAAGATAAGGAGATGCTGGATCCCATCCGGTGTCTCTAAACCAAGTTTGCGAGATGCACACAGACGCAGTTTTTAAACTAAGGTGTTCTGTCATAAATTACACCTTAGTCACCATGCTGTGATCAGAAGCACAGTCTAAGTCCTTAGTTGTGGTAGAGGGTGGGGGAAGTAAATTAACTGGCTGGAGAGCTACTGGGATTTTAGAAACAGTTGCCATTGCACTGCACTTTGATGGATGGGTAGGACCTTAATTTTCAGATGCAAGGGAGTAAATCTTTCGGCAATAAAGTAAGAAAAATAGATGTATTGAAGGAAAGTACCAAGCAGTGTGATGGGCCTGCCTGCATTCCAGACTGTGGATTTTGCCCTTGATTCTGAAATCGTTGACAGTTTATTGCAGATGTTTGTTAATATTGTAATTATAAGGGTGACATCCCCAGATCTGTTGTTGGGTGCCATGTGGTGCTTTCAGCAGCCCATCAGGCATAACCTGTTGCACTTGTGGGAAACCCCGTGCAGAGAGCTCTGAGTTGTCTGGCACACTTCCTTGAGCTCTCAGGGACTTGTCTCCTGATACCCAATGGCTTTGAGTTCAGGTGCCCGGTACTTAACGGCCACTTTTCCTAACATCTGTGCTTGCCTTTCTAGTTGATGGCTCCTCACTGCCTCTCTCCGTGAGCCCATCCTCTGCCTTGCCTTTACTTGCCCCCTCTCCAGGGATGTGTATACTTCGGGTTTTCATCTCCCCTTTTCTGCTCATCCTGGAAGGATGGCCAAGACCCCATTTGGTGCTGTTGCTCCAGCCCCTCCACCTTAGAAAACAGATGCGATGCCTGTCACCGGTTACTCCCTGTGTTAAAAATTTAAGGCCAACTCATTTCTGTTCTTAGGAAAATATTTTCAGAGCTCATTTATGTAC